TGTGGTCCTATGGGGGTCTGTTGGGGTTTTATGGGGTCTTATGGGCTGTGGGGAGTCCCTATGGGGTCCTATGGGGGTCTTATGGGGTCTGGGGAGTCCTTACGGGGGGTCTTATGGGGTCCTATGGGGTCTGGGGAGTCCCTATGGGGGTCCTGTGGGGTCCCTATGGGGGTCTTATGGAGCCTGGGGGTTGCTGTGGTGTCAGGGATTCTATGGGGGTTTTATGGAGTCTCTATGGGGTCCTATGGGGGTCCTATGGGATCTGGGGGGTCCTATGGGGTCTGGGGGGCTCCTATGGGGGTCCGAGTGTCTATGGGGCTGCGATGGGGTCCGGGGGTCGCAGTGGGGTGAGGCCGCTCCCATCCCATCCCGCACAGGGCGCTGTCGCTGGCCGGCTCCCTGCTGTGCCTGGCGCTGCTGTTCCTCACCTGCTGGTTCTACGCCCTGCCGGCGCTCTGCATGGCGGCCATGCTCTACAAATACGTGGAGTATTGCGGGTCCGACCCCAAACCCCAACCCTAAATACGACCCCCCCCCCCCCGGCCCCATATCCGGCCCCATTAAGCCCCTTCTTCGCTCCCCATCCCGCAGCGCTGCCTCTGAGTGGGGCGAGGGGCTGCGGGGGCTGCAGCTCAGCGCTGCCCGCATTGCGCTGCTGAGCCTGGAGGAGGGGCCGGAACCTACAAACAGCTGGAGGTCAGCGGCCCCATAGAGACCCCATAGGCACCTATAGAGACCCCACAGCCCCATAGAGACCCCATAGCCACCCTATAGAGCCTCATAGTCCCATAGAGAACCCAACACCATCCCCAATGCCCCCAGCACCCCACTGATGCGCCCAATACCTCATTGATGCCCCACTGACGCCCCCCTGCCCCATTCGTGCCCTGTTGATACCCCCAATGTCCCCCCTGCCCCATTGCTGCCCCATTACTGCCCCCATTGCCCGCCCCACCCCATTGCTGCCCCACTGATGCCCCCAGAGCCCCCCCTGCCCCACTGATGCCCTCAGCACCCCACTGCTGCCCCATTACTGCCCCATTACTGCCCCCATTGCCCGCCCCACCCCATTGCTGCCCCATTACTGCCCCCATTGCCCGCCCCACCCCATTGCTGCCCCATTACTGCCCCCATTGCCCGCCCCACCCCATTGCTGCCCCATTGATGCCCCCAGACCCCCCCTGCCCCACTGACGCCCCCAGCACCCCACTGCTGGCCCATTGATGGCCCATGGACGCCCCCCGTCCCTTTACTGCCCCCATTGCCTCCCCTGCCCCATTGATGCCCCCAGTGCCCCCCCTGCCCCACTGACGCTCTCAGCACCCCACTGCTGCCCCACTGCTGGCCCATTGATGCCCCAGTGATGCCCCCTGTCCCTTTGCTGCCCCCATTGCGTTCCCTGCCCCATTGATGCCCTCGGCACCCCACTGCTGCCCCACTGATGCCCCCAATGCCCCCCCTGCCCCATTGCTGCCCCCATTGCCCCCCACCCCACTGCCGCCCCATTGCTGCCCGCAGGCCGCAGCTGCTGGTGCTGCTGAAGCTGGACTCAGAGCTGCGCGTGTCGCAGCCGCAGCTGCTGGCTCTGGCCGCTCAGCTGAAGGCCGGCCGGGGGCTGCTGGTGGCTGCAGCCGTGCTGCAGGGCAACGCGGGGACCGGGCAGGGGGAGGCCAGGGCGGCCGAGCAGGTGGGGGGCTGGGGGGGGAGACTGGGGTCTACTGGGGGATATGGGGGGGATATGGGCGGAGATGGGATGGGAAAATGGGGGCTGGGGGTCCTATGGGGGGAGATTGGGGGATATGGGGGGGATATGGGGTCCTGCGGGGGGAGATGGGGGCTGGGGGGAGATTGGGGGCATCCCCCCACATCCCCCCCATAGCCTCATACCGACCCGTAACCCCATAACCAACCCCCCCCCCCCCCCCCCCCCCCCCAGTCTCTCCGCTCCGCCCTGGCTTCGCTCGGCGCCCGCGGTTTCGTCCACGTTTCCGTGGCTCCCCGGGAGCGGGAGGCGCTGGCGGTGTTGGTTCAGGGCTGCCGCCTGGGGGCGCTGCGACCCAACTGCGTGCTGCTGGGGTGGCCGAGGGGGGCGGCGCTCAGGGAGGATCCGGCGGCGGCCACAGAGTTTGTGGGTACGGGGGGGGGGGTATTGGGGTCCCTATGGGGGGTATTGGGGTCTTATGGGGGTTGTGGGGGGTGCTATGGAGGGATATTGGGATCCTATGGGAGATATGGGGGTTCTCTGGGGAGTATGGGGATCCTATGGGGGGTCCTAAGAGGCATATTGGGGTCCTATGGGAGATATGGGGAGCCTATGGGGGATCCTATGGGGTCCTATGGGGGGGATATTGG